AGGTAGGTAATAATTCACCTCATTTTTATCTTTATCAAAATAGGAGTTGAGGTAAGCAGGGTAGAGAATTATCTCAAAAACATGCTATTATTATCACCATTCCACAGTGCTTCATGATCATTAACATCATCTTCCAGACACTTTGCCATTTCTTCCTAAAGCTTCTTATTTTTTTCCTTGAAGGAGGCATTATATAATTTTATTATTTGCTAAAATAAATGCTTTTTCTAATCAATTTTCCTAGAGGCAAGTGTCTTCTCACATGGAAGAATTCAGATCTGCAATTATCAGCAGTTTGCTAATGTGCCTGATGGCATATTAAATATCAGTATGCTTTTCCCCCAAGTTTTAGTAGCTTAGCTCCTTCCTCTTTTCCTCAAAACCTCTTTAAGCTCGTATGTGCTGTTGATGTGACTGATAAATGATTTCTTTAGATTTTAAATATAGAATGTGTTCATTGTAATAATGGCATAATACGGCAGATTTTAATAATGTTTTACAGCTCCCTGGAAAAGAGTTAGAGACTTTTGGTAGAGGCCTATTTGAGTCTTTAAAATGCTGTTCAGCAGCATGCAATCCTGGCTCATGGGACGTGCCTGTCTTTTTCATGTTTGCTCTTAAAAAACGTACCAATACATGTTCAGTTCAGCAAATATTGATTGCCTTTTGTGTGCTTAGTGCTTAGTGCTGTGGGGATAAAAAGAGGAATTTGATATGATCTCTAGCATCCAACAGCGCAGTGGAGAAAACAGGAATACATATAAATCACTATAAAATGAGGAATTGGTAAAGGGACACGAAAATCAACTACATTGTATATTGATAAATTTTAAAAATTTAAAAAACTATAAAAAAACAAGGCAAACTTAAATGATTAATAAAACAGTTATATAAACATAATACGATGAAATAACAGGGAAGTAATAAATTCTAGGTGTATGAATTAGAGAAGGCATCACCAAGGCAAAGAGCTTTAAAATAGATTTTAAAAGATAAGTAGGCATGTAGCTATTGATTTGTAAGGAAGCAAAGACACAGGGGTATAAGAAGTGCTCAGCATAGCTGAGAAGCAGCATGAGTTCAGAATGATCACATTGACAGCCA